CAGAAAGAAGATCACTCAATGACCATGATCAAGTTGGTTTCATTCCAGAAATGCATAGATGGCTCAGCATATAAAAATCAATAAATGCAATAAATCACATGGTTGAATTAAAAAATGGAACTCACATGGTAACCTAATGGAAACAGAAAAGGGCTGAAACAAAATTCGTTACCCTTTCATTGTAAAATCCCTGAAGAAACTAGAAATAGAAGGAACATCCATCGCCAATATAATAAAGCCACTCATGACAAACTACAGCCAAAGCAGACTAGTGAAGAAAGAACTCAAAGCATGTCCATTAAGTCAACAGAAGGCCAAAGAATCCACACTAGCTAGGTCTGTGTTTCAAGTCTTAACTAGATCAAGGAAATGGGAGGAAATAAAAGGAAAATATGTATGGTTCTACACATGAGACCCTAAAGATCCACCAGCAAATTCATAGAGTTGATGAATGCCTTCAGCAAAGTTTCAAGAAACAAAACCTACATAAAAACTAGTAGCCTTTCTACATACCAGTAACTAACAGGCTGAGAAACCAAATCAGGGCAACAATCCCAAACACAATTAGGGAGGGGAAAAAAACTGGAATAACCCTAACTAACCAAGGAAGTGAAAGACATCTTTACTGAAAATGTTAGAAGAATGAAGAGAGAAACTGAAGAACACACCAGAAGCCAGAAAGATCTCTCATACTCATTGACTGGAAAAATTAGTACAGTAAAAATGGCTATGCTACCAAATGTGTCCTACAGATTCACAGACTCAATGCAATGCCCATCAAATTGCTAAGCTATCCGTCACAGTCAGCAGCACAAAAGATCCTAGATAGCCAGGCAGTCCTGGGCAAAAAGAACAATCCTAGAAGTGATCCCCACATCTGATTTTGAGTTATACTAAAGACTTGTATTATTATCAAAACTCGTATTGGCACAAAAACTGATAAGTAGATTGATGAACTAGAACAGTGAGCTGAGAAATAAACCAATACAATTACAGCTGCATGGTTTTTGACAAAGATACCGTAATATACACTGGAGAAATGACAGCTTCTTCAAGAAAAGGTGCTGGTTCCACAGGAAAAGGGTGAAACTGAATTCTTATTTCTCACCGTGTACACAAACCAACCCCAAATTGATCAAAAAACATATAAGATTTAAAAGTCTGAAACTATTAGAGGAAAAATTCAGGGAAAAAAAAAAACACTTTAAGGAATAGGCATGGGTGAGGACTTTCCTAATAGAATCCTTGTCCTTCAGGAAGTAATCACACACACACACACACACACACACACACACACACACACACACACACACACAAAGGTGCATGTAGTCATGTGTGCTACTGTTATGTCACTAGACTGAATATTCAGGGAAGAAATTTTAAACATGATTTAAAACTGTATTCCAATTTGAAAAAAAAACTCGTGAATATGTGATTCTGATGTTAGTCTTAACATATACACAAGGGCTGGGATGTAGCTCGGTGGTCGAGCACTAGTCTAGGACACAGAGCCTGCGTTCCATACCTGGAACCACAAAAAATAAAAAAGAAAGGGAAAGAGAAAGAGAGAAAAGGGAAGGAGAGAAGAAGAAAGGAAGGAGGGGAAGACAGAGGAAGAAAAGGCAAGATAAAAGAGGAGAGGAAAGGGAAGAGGGAGAAGAGAAGATCATAGTGTCCTCAGGGGAAGAAAGTGAAGACTATCCTGTGTTTTAAAGGATACCTGGTCCCTCACCTTCCTCCATCCTGCTGGCTGTATCTTCACATTTGAGGTGTTCTTAATGTCTGCTCAGGACTGGAGATCGGTATAGAGTTATCTAAGCAACCACTCATTTGCCATCTCATTCCAGACTCTGGAATGTTCTCCCACTTGGCATACTCTCTGCCACCACACCAGGAGAGCCGTCTCCTTAAAAACCGGCTCCTTATCCATAGCCTTTATTTTATTTTAAGATTGTTATTTTTTTCTTAATTGTGTGTGTGTGTGTGTGTGTGTGTGTGTGTGTGTGTGTGTGTGCGCGCGCGCACGCGCGCACGCGTGCATAAAAGTCAGAAGAGGGAAGAGCTAGACTTACAAGTAGTTGAAAGCCATCTGACATGGGTGCTCGGGAACCGAACTTGGGTCCTCTGTGAGATTAGTGGGTGCCTTTAAGCACAGAGCCACCTCTCTAGGCCCTATATCCTTTATTTTTAAGAGCTATGGTGAAGCACTCTTCCTCTAAATTCTGTGTAGCCACAGCACACACACACACCAATAGAACACAGTCCAAGCAAATGACAGATGACTGATGGAAGTATTTTCCCTGGAATTGCATCAAGATAATCTAGGATAACAAAGAATACAGATATCACTCCTTAACGACATTGGAAAAAATCAAGTCAGTAATTCCATTATCCCAAATATAAACATCTCTACAGAAGCAAAGCCTCACTGCCAGAATTTAATCTTCACTCAGAATAAACCATTTCCTGTGCTTAATGGGATATAGCAGTTAAAACACCAGCAAGTGGCTAAACCTACATCAACACTAGGTCAGGAAATTCTATCTGACTGCCCAGAAAGGGCACAGACTGCTGACCCCAAAATATAATGAAACTCCCTAAGGCTGTGAACTGTGTACAAAGCAGAGCCACAGAATTCTCCTTCAGTTTGAGCTGCTCCATTCGTGTGTCTCCCCCAGCACCTCTGCCTTTGGAGACTGACTAAACAACAAAGTGTTGACATGGACTTTCAGACCCGAACAGGAGGGCAAGGCTTGCTCTGTCCTCCCCTCTGACCTCCCCTGTCTCCCTCTGCTAGGCATGATATCTTCCTTCCTCTTGGTGTTGTACAGAGCACACTCTTCTTTCTCAGGTATGCTCAGGACAGGACAGGAGCCTGAGGTAATATGAAATGTTTTTTAAAGCAGTAGAAATGAGAGGATGTCTCCATGCCTTGGAGGGGAAAAAAAGCAAAGGGAAAGGAGGTACTCGGAATAACCCTCCTCCACAGAAACCTGAGGCCATCTTCTCTTCCTGAACTCCTGAGGCTCGAATCATACCCTCTTCAACACACGCCATTCAGGTTTTCCCTCCACCCTTGAAGCGCTTCATATTGCACTTTTAAAGCTTGAGTTTGTTTTGAATGGACTGGATATTTTGAGCTTCTGAGGGGATTTTTAAGTAATTATTGAGACAATGCTGAAAAACATTCCAGTTTCATTCTGTCCAGTCCACATATGGCATATATAGTTATACAGCAGTGATTTCAAATCATGGAGGCAGATCTGCAGATGGCACCTGGCCAGGAGTGAGTTCATACCTAATAAGATGCACATCCACAGTGTGGATGACAGAGAAAGAAACCTAGTATTGCCGCAAATCTCAAAATAGTTCTTCAAACGGTGTTAGATGATCTTTACTCTGCAATATCTGCCAGGTATCCAAGTCAGAAAGTCCACTAGATGGTTGTCTACATGATTCTACATGGAGGTGAAGCTGAGGTCTGATATAGTTAATGTGTAAGGCCTTAGAAATTAACTAAAACAACAGGCGAGGGAAGGAGAAGGGGAAGGAGGGAGGGAGGGAGGGAGGGAGGAGGGAGGGAAGGGAGGGGGTGAAGGCTCTTAGATCCCAGTGAACATCTGCTTCATGGGGAGAAATGAGACTTCTTATGGAAAGAAATACAAACAAGTCCTGCACCAACAAGGACATCTCATCAACTCATGAACCTTTATGATGAGCCTGGCAGTAGGTATGTGACAAGAATCACCATTGGAATGAATAGGAGACCTTGTCTTCAAAATACCCCAGCTAAAGAAGTCAGTGGACTCAGCATGCGTCGATCCATGGGATGAGCGCAAGACAGGGAATTATCAAGTCCACTGGGAGGTTAGACAGGGGACGATGAATTCGACCTAGGCACGGAACCCAGACAAAATACAAAAGGAGACATAATACTTCAAGCGGGTATTGAAGAATGTATATGAACTCATAAAGAAAGAATTGCTGTAGGGAACACTTCAGATATGTGTGTGCATGTGCATGTGTGTTCTCTATGGCCTGAAGACACATGAGTGCTGATTGCTCTGTGGCCTACACCCCTGTGCACTCTGGACCCAAAAAGTAGCAGGTGGCCTCATTAGCTGCCCCAAGCTGACATTTACTCGGCACTCTTAGCACAAACATAAAATTCAAGAGTTACACATCTACTTTTAAAACAAGCATTTTCAGTAACTTGCTGAATTCTTTACTACGTAATGATATCCTTACAAGATTATTACTTTTACTACTCAGCAGAGAAAAACAATGAAAGCATGAAATTTGCAGGCAAATGGATGGAACTAGAAAAAATCATCCTGAGTGAGGTAACCCAAAC